ACTAAAAGGGTACCGCCTCAGTTCATCTCCTTTTCCAGCTGGATCAAAGTACTGAAGCTGGGTCCTCCGGTTACGATGCAGAGAAAATGAGAAAAGATGAAATCACAAGAAGACATTGATAATTGCATAATGGAACTCAGTGCTGAGAGACTACATGGCAAATTGAGCCTACCTTAAATTGAGTGCATTGAAAGGGGCGGCAAGCGGGCTGGCGAGGGACGAGCAGGTCCAAGAATGCTGTAAGCTGGGCATCCTAAGACATTATGCATAAAATCGGATCTTCCGGTAGATTTTTCATCAAGAATACGATCGAAATTGAGTTCTGCGCGACAAATTGCTTGAGAAATACATTTATTGACAGGTTAAGGGACTAGGGATGTCCACAATGTCAGGAGCGCTGCGCACGATTACCGACCACTCCTATAGACCCGATCCAAGCACGGTTAGGTCAAACGCTATGATACAACTATTCGTGCTTGATGGATGTCCATGCTGCATACCCAAAAATTGAAGGCGTTTACGCTTTCTTCATGCCGACCGCTTGCGAGCCGTTTACATCATTAATTGCATTCTGCGTTCTGTCAGATGATGTAGTATTTCATTTCGCGCGGAACGAGATTGTGGAGTTCTTCGATTACGCATTTACACTTAGTTGTCACATAATAGTTGGGAGCATCGTTTTCCTTCCACACAAATCAACATGAAAGAATCGAATCGGCGCATCATGGCTCGAATGTTTCGCACACATTTCACCATTCTTTAACACAGGGGCTCATCTCAATTTCCACGAGAGCCTTCCGCTCCTTACATCATAGAACTTTCGGGGTTCAAATTAATGGAGCTGCGCCCTTGCGTCAGAACTGTTACAATTTCAACGTTACCAACCAGTGGCGAGGCGCGAATGGTCGATAATCAAAGCCTCCGCATTTGAAGCTACGGTGAAGAATCGATTATGAAGATGTTCCTTGCGAACACTCAGTGTTCATCGATCCTTTTCCGTAGGTTTGAATGGCAGATCATTCGATATACCGCGAAGCACGCCGCACGACTGTTGCCAACCGGCGAGAACGACCACCGGGGTCCAAACGGAGTTGCGTTCGGCAGGGACGGGCGCAAGCGAGACGGACGAAATTTCTAAAGGAAAAAGTTTCACCGCGATCACCTGAGTCAACTCGCAAGTTCTCGGCCGAGCCGTTAGGTTCCCTTTCATGTTTGAATTTATTTATTTACTTTTTTCATCTTATTTGCTTCTTCCCTTTCATCCGGAATTACTTATTATTCAAATGAGTTCCGTGCGGTGCAAACTTGTAAGTGAGACGATGCCCCGCGCTCCGGCCCCAAACTCGATTTAAAACGCGGTTAACGTCTTCGGCGCCGCGTCCGTTGTTCTTTCTTTCGCGATGCGCGTCCTCCGGGTCTCCGGCGCTGAGCAAGAACGTCGTATCGGAGACACAACGCTGCCAAATGAACCAGTAAGTTCGAAAACACACCAACTCGGCTATTTTTCGATTTCCACTTTTCTACGGTTTAATAACACTTATGGATAGATGCATCTGCGCGCAAAAACTAAATTTCGAAATTGCAATCGGAAGTATTCGAAACAGCGACGGGAAAAGGGAAAAATCGAAGTATTTCGTTGGAAATACCGATTTTCGGCCATTTCCAGGGAAACGGATGACCATCCGATTTTGCGGTTTTCTTCTTTCGGTTCAGTATACCTTGTACCGACAAGTTATATAAATATTCAAGCGTTATCCAGGTCGAAAAATATACATTTTTCAGAACAGACTATGAAAGATTTTCTTGTAAGATAGTTGGTAATAATAGTAATAACTCCGCCCCTAAACCCCCCGATGTAATGCCCACAGGCGGTTCCGGGGCTTCATTGGATTAGTTCTTTTAATCTTAAGATCAATAATGTATTTAATTTGTACCATCCTTAATATGTCTATGTATCTCTAAATATCTAATAAAGCATTAAAAGGAAAAAAAAAAAAAAAAAAAAAAAAAAAAAAAATAGACTATGAAAAATCAGTATCTGAAAGTCGCTGAGAACGAAAAAACGCCAACTCTGAAATTTTTAGACGCTCAATTCTCTGTCATCGAACATGGTGTATCGATTTCAACTTTGTGAAAGTTAGTACAGCCGAGTAGAGAAACTTCCCTCTGAAATTGATGTACCAAGCACCTCCCAAGCGAGAACCCCTCCAAGGCCCATTCCCAAAACCCCAGAGTATCGCGTTGACACCCCTCCCCATATACCAAACTATAATCCAACTCCCATTTTGTCAGTTCCTTCTTGTTCTTATTATTCTCCCATCTCTAAATGTCCAGCCTCTCCTTCTGTTACCCCTTCAAGTTCTTCTAATCTCTATACTTCTCCTCCGTCTACTTCCCCCCCCCACAAAGAGGAAAAGAAAGAGAAGAAGAGCCAGTAGGGCACATCGGCCGGTGAATCGATTAGTAGAATCTTCAACTCAAACCTGTGATTTCCTACTGTCTTGCCCAACGTACTATGAAAATGAAATGACGTTCTAGCGATTAGACTTTCCCAGTATCAGTTCAATGGTCAGATTTCTGACTTTCTGCGAGACGCACGGTGACGCTTTGAAGAGAAAAATTCAGCAACGTCCCGTTATGGGAATTCCGACTTTGGAATACCCCTGTACATACATCATCCACCATGTTGTAACCACTTGTAAGACCGCGTCTCACAAGAACGCACCAAGACGCTTTCAGTTCAAATCAGGAAAAGAGGTTGGAAGTTTTACTCCACCATAAACGCATTTGAAAACAAGCAGGAAGCTCCAACGCATTCCCGTCGGAAAGCGGCTCTGGCGACGGTAGGTAGTTGTTACGCGTTTACGGTTTCCTTGGTAACTTTTGTTTGCTATCAGCTGATGTCGAGTAGTATGACTAGGAAGCTCCAACCACGGCATTCTTCGAAAAAAGCGCGAAAACTTATAGATTTGAATTTTCAAATTTTAAACGTAAAGTACATTTTTTCCAGTGCGAGATTAAAGCACAGACCCGTTTTGAATTATTGACAGTATCACCATGATTCCAAAAATACACTACACAACATAGCATTCGCTCACAGGAAAAAGATATCAATTAAAATAAAATCAGTCCCCCCTAAACAGCAGAAAATGGCGCCGATTCCCATCAACCAACACGCGGTCTCTCCAATGTAACATGGTCCGTTGATACTCCCCAGCTGGGACCGTCCGGAATAGCAGCTCTAGTGCAAGCACCAGAGCCGCTAAAATCAACTTCGAGTCCATGTTTCAACTAATGACAATTTCTATGGGCTGTGAATGACTGGTTAAACTCAAAATCACTCACGCGTAATTCGATTTTTTGGGAAATGTGAATTAGTGCCTCTTTGTTAAACCGGTGTTGGATATCCGAGTCGATAATTGACCGGAAGTATTCTACTCAGGGGCCCAAGATGGAATAAAAATTTGGCAGTTTAACATCTTGCACTTGAAAATGATGCGAGTGATTTCAGGCTTAGGATTTTCTGTTGAAATTCCGTAGTGGTGGAGTGAACGTAACGCTTTTAACGTTAAAGGCGGTATCGATCGCTGTGAGGAAGACGGCGTTGATGTAACTGATACTTGTGCAAAACCCGAGCTAATCACGGCGAACCCAGCGGGGAGGTTTCCGGGCTCCAACCGAACTTGGCCTGGCTCTTAGCGGCACTCCAGTTCCCGGCTAAGAGGAAGTCGATGACGGGATCAAGCCAGGAAGGAGCCGCCAATCACCGCCGGGTCCTTCTTTTAACAGAAACGGCATGCAGCGTCAGCGAGTTTATCTCCCGTCATTATTTTTCATTATCAGAAATAACTTTTGACATGATATATTCAAAAGGACGATTCTTTCAACGGTGACGGGATCTAGTTGCTTTAATTGTGATGTGAGAGAAATGTAGCCTGAACCCTAATCCCCCCTACATGATAAGGAGGAAGAGGAAAGGTAACGCCTGGACGGCTCACTCCAGGACACGGATGATGAAAGGGCAAGCTATTGTAGCGAGAGCCGAGAGCTTAGAAAAAACGAAAGGATTCGAGTGTGGATGATAGGTATTAAAAGCATGTTACCGTGCACTGAGAAAAAGCTATGGTTTATAAACCTATTAGTGGTAAATATGGAACACCTATAATAGTCGTAAATAAACTAATGATTCTCGGTCTGTGAACCATACTAAGGTCTCTGTACCTAATTAAGGTACAGAGACCATAACTAAGGTATATGTGCTATTATTATATGTAGAGGTACTACTATTAGTGGTGTTCCATATTTACCTCTAATAGGTTTATAAGCCATAGTTTTTTCTCAGTGTGGACCCCCGGCCTTGCAAGTGGCCAAGGGGTCATGGTTAGAATTACAGAGCGGCATGATACGTAAACCGGTGACATTCTAGCACAGACTTCAGAATCGTAAACAATAATTTAAACTTAAGAGATCGGGATGTAACGACCATACAAGATCGAGACATAAGGACCTCTTATAATTTATATTATTGATTCTTTACAAACGATGCTAAAGAAAACGAGTTAATTTCATTTCTTGTAAGGCTAGCAAAAAAAAACTGAAATCTATGTAACGAGTCTCAATTTGGATATTTCAAACCAATTTTTAAATCCAGTCTCAGCAGCTGAAAGTTTCCTGAAACTCATGAATTTACAAAAAAGTATTGTAATTGCTTTGACACATTGGCGCAATCCCGTCTCGAAAGGGGGGCGTTTGCGCAAACGTCCTGCTCCCATTCGCAACGGACTTTATGTCCGTATAGCCCGTAACTTTTTTTTCGGCGTTGAAAGTACGAGACTGTTGAACGACTTATCAAGACGAAATAAAATTAAAACTTTACTGCATGACGCCGGTGGTGTCCCTCCTTCCAGAAGGGACGCGTGTAATGATCCCAATTTCGAAGACGGGACGCAAGTCGGATGCAAAAAGACGGATTGGTCGAGATTTTTCGAAGAAAAACTTACCGGCAAACTCGACGTTGAGGGCGAATAAGACGCAGACTAAGATGCACCTTAAGGGGATCGGAGCCACTCTCATGGTGGGCGGCATTAGCTCCGAATCATTTCCCACACACTCAGCATGTCAGCGGCCGTACTTTCGCCTCATCGCGTTATTCCAACTGCTGCGAACAGAACAAAAGTAACAATTAGATTTTCAAACGTTAAACTAGGGTTTTTTTAGTTCCAGGTTACTGATTACAGACTTGGGGTAAGACCAAACCTCACGTCTTGCCTTCTAAAACTTTCGGCCAAAGCTCTACAAAGATATTTTGAAAATAAGAAGAAACTTCTTCCGTTCACGAGGAGGACGCGGCGGACGCTCAGCACCGCCTCCACCCGAACCCGAAGAGGAGTTTGAATACACAAAGCCAAACCGAGTCCCCAGGACTCAGCCACGCGGAAACCAATCTGGTAGTCGTGGCCGTTATCAGCAGCAAAGAGCTGATTAATTTCACATCTCGAAGAATTGAGAATTTGTTGATCGTGTAGCAGAGGAACTGAAAAATCGCCTCTTACCCGGCGTAAAAGATCAATCGTCCGCATCAAAACAACGAGAGACAGTCAACGCACCACGGGCCACCGTAGTACCAACCACTAGTCGTGGTCAAGGTTTTGGCACCTACATAACTATGAGCGCGATCTATCAAAGACCAGCAAAACAGATTCCGCCCACTGGTGATACATATGCTTTGTATTGCATTGCTCTTGCCGCAGCTGCGACAAAATATACTATGGTACAGCGCGAACAAACCTTACCATACGATAATGCATTCTCATTCTGGCCACGCTTCTCGGCTGATTCAATAAATGTCGTTTTGAGTCATGCTATCCTGCCAGACCCAGTTACTCGCGCAGTCCGCGCAACTGGAGTATACTCGGATCGTGAAGTTCAATTCGTACCTTGTTTGCGCAAAGACACCGTCGTTGAAGAGGGGTTCGTACCACGACCGGAGAATATACACATTCTCAACCTCTGTAAAACCGTCGAATCATTAAATGACGTGAATAATCCAGCACAATACCGGAAACGTTTTTACGATCATTCGCCTCTACCAGCCGCAGAATGGGGTTTTGTCAACAACAACGCAAATTCGCCTCGATTCCCGATCTGTTCATTCCGGCAAATTATGATTTTGTTAACGATTTGCAAGCCGACTATGACCGATTCAATGCAAAGCAGGAATTCCTGGCAAATACTTATGCCAAGTACATATCGGCACCAATAGAGTATAACGGAACCGGAAAAGTTGACATTCTAAGTTCAAATGAGATGAAAACGTTACGCTGCCCAGACAAGCTGCCAGCGGAGAACGAGCAGACTTATTATATACGTACTACATTACAGGGAAACGTGACAAAATATTGGAATATCCGTTCTGTTCCACCTGTACAACAGATTGAAGCCAGTTATGCACTCCTTGGAGAGTTGCTAAGCACAGTTTCCCAGAGATATCCATCCTTCTCAAAAAGGGAACAAATCGTCTGCACTGAAATTAGCCTTAATGGACCACTAGACAAGGTACGAATTTAAACAATCTGATACATGTTTCTTAACAAGAATTTCACGTAGAACATGATTCGTGCAACGAAAATTACTGAAACCAACTCCTAAAGAAGATATTAACGTTTTTATTTCACATTGGTTACGAGAAATTTGAACTGCCCGCTCACAAGAAACTCAAAGCNCGAAGAACTGGAGTTCAGTGAACTGCTATAATTGGTGTTCCATATGGACCAATCATAGCGGCACAGGCAACCGAAGTTCGGTTACTGACGCCGAACTTTTTTTCTCCGTGCATGATAACGTTTAGCGCTCGATGTGAATCACGTAGAGCATTGAGTTTTCATGAGCGGGTGGTTTGAATTCACGCATCAAGAATCACAAAATAGCTTCGTAAGGAGTTAATTTTTGTAATTTTCGTTGTGCGCATCGTGTTTTACGTGAAATTTTGGTTGATTGACATGTATCAGAATGCTGAAATTCGTACCTTGTCTAGTGGTCCATTCGCAAATATTAAACTACACTGTTAAAAATCCCGGCGCAAATATTACAACATTCATCGGGGTTGAAAAACGGACACTGACCAATTTAACGAAAGCAGCTTCGAGATAATGCTGAAGCAGTGCGAGTCAACTCCTCCGATCCATCGAGCCTCGGGAGGAGCGAAACGCTACGATTATAAATACTCTCGGATATGAGAAAAAAGTTCGAGGGGTGAAATAAATGATGCGCGGCCGTGACAGGGGGAACCGCGAGAAAATGACAACGGCTCCCCTCCCCCCTCCGCTCGCCCGTAAGCGGTGCAAAGCTCAAACCTCGCTACCCCGATTTCAAATCGTACGGATTTCATCTCCAGGGGACTCGGGAGATTCGAGGCGTCCCGCCACGTATGAGTGAGGAATAGACTGCTGGGACGGCAGTCGACAAACAAAACATTTTAGTTGATTACACCTTGTTTTCGTTCCGTTTTTCTTCGCGACGAGTGGGGGGGGGCGGATGAGGGGGGGGGATGACTCACACCTACCCTCGAGAAAACGCCCGAGTTGCCGCGCTCACCTCTGAAATTTCGTTTGAGAGTTTGTTGGAATTGATGTTTATAATGGACAACAGACAGGATCGGAACACTGATTTTATTATTATTTTTTACTATTAAAGAGACAACGGTCGTCTAGAAAGCAGTCAAGAAAACGAGTGAGAAGAGACATAAGTTTGTAAGAATTCGAGCTGCCTTGGTGTAATGACCAAGTATTCTAACCACCTTATTATTTCAGTTATGGGGGTCGATCGCATCGGGGTCACGTCTTGTTGCTCATCTTCACGCTAAATGAAATTAGGTCGAAGCGGTAAAGAAGATATGAACATCGATCGAACCATTGAACATTTTCCAGAACCCAATGGGAGGGTGTACAACTTCACCGTCGGTCATTCATGAAATAGGGTTATCGTTTATATGTTATTGTTTTATAACTATTTTAGGTTGTGAAACAATATTAACAACTTCAATTAACGGTATTTTCGACGCTGGGATACCATCTGTTTACATGTTATTGTTTTATAACGATTTTAAGTTGTGAAACAACATTAACAACTTCAATTAACGGTATTTTCGACGCTGGGATACCATCATCTGTGCATCGTTTCTTTTTTTTACAGGCAAGTCTCTTCTTCTTCTTCTAACTTCTGACTAGGGCCGTAACCCTGTTTGTCAGATTTGTTAGTTATATTTTATTTCTAGAATCACGAGAACCACCGACCCTCGAGGTACCCCCCCCCCCCCNCCAGACGGAGATAGGGTCCCAGGGCAGACCAATCGAAATTAATACGAAGAGCACCAAGGAATACAGCCTACACGAGATTCTCCAGGGTAAGGATGTTGCATATAATAGTAAAGCCCCAGGAACAAAATAAAAATAAAAAGGAAGGGAGGAAAGGAGAGGGAACTTTCCCTGGACGAAGAGATGGAGAAATTGTCTGCGTTAATTGAAGAAGTTCCAGCCAGAATTCCTACACGACCACTACCAGTACGCCGGCAGGTTCAAGCAATCGACCCACTACCTAACCGGCCATCGCTCTCACAGGTGGGTCGGCTCCCGGAGGGACCTGAAGGGAGCCACATCGGGCAAGTGAAGAGGTGGCAGGCCAAGTTACGTCTGGTCTCAATAGAGAAAGATATTGAGGGTTTCATGCCCCAATGTCATTTTAAGAAAATCAAAACAATATTACAATCAATGGAGGAAGGGGACATCTACTCTATCGGAGAAAGGATTTATGTATCTGTACGAAAATGGAATGAGGAAACACTAAAGATCCCTGCGCTTCCGCTGTTGCTGCCTCCAGGCTTCCGCCGGGAGCCGAGAAACTGGCGAGAGGCACGCTACTTCTTCCACCTCGATATGCAGCCATCAAGAAGACGACTCTCCGATCGCCGTCGCACTACACTAGTCACCTGCCGACAGCGCCGGCAAGCCAGCCGGGCACATCTTTTGCGACGACACTCCCTCTTCTCGGCGGAGTCCAGTTCCTGAAGTCCAAGTCAAAACCTTGTATGAGTCTGCATAAAGCAACATGTATGAGTCCAACCAATGATACTTTTCGTTTTAATATCTTGTATTGTTTCTTCTTTTAAATCTTACCAGTTCTTTTTTAAGTTTACTGAAGGATGTCTCTCTGAGATTTTTTTTTGAAAACGGCCCTTTAGAGGGCCACCGGATGCGGATACAGACCTGCCTTTAAAACTAATTGTAACATTTTAAATTTGATAAAGCCTAACAATTCAATTCGCCCAAATCGAGATCTTAACCGCTCTGGTGTTTATAGGATAGATTGCAATGATTGTGATAGTATTTACATTGGGAAAACGGAACGGTCATTTAAGAACCGATTTAAGGAGCATTTAAAAAAGCATAGCTCTAATATATATAAACATATTGAAGCTTCCAACCACACTGTAAATGAGAGTAATTTACATATTTTACATGTTTCTAATGATAAAAGGTTGACCAAAGTATTGGAAAAGTTTGAGATTACCAATCATGCTAGGAAAGATGAACACCTCCTGAACGTAGAGTTAGACATGGACACTGCTTCTGACGTTTTAATTGACAAATGTTGCAGCCTATAAATTTCTTGTGTTATTCCTGTAATATTTGCTTTGTGAGGTTATGTTTATATTTACTTTCAATTCTACATTCTAGCTTCTTCAATCAATCATGCACGCTCTCTCGCTGACTTACTACTTTTAACTATGTTTTTTAACTTCCTGTACACTGAGAAAAAACTATGGCTTATAAACCTATTAGAGGTAAATATGGAACACCACTAATAGTAGTACCTCTACATATAATAATAGCACATATACCTTAGTTATGGTCTCTGTACCTTAATTAGGTACAGAGACCTTAGTATGGTTCACAGACCGAGAATCATTAGTTTATTTACGACTATTATAGGTGTTCCATATTTACCTCTAATAGGTTTATAAACCATAGCTTTTTCTCAGTGTACGCTTGTAGTTTTAGTAGGTTACTGTCAGGAGTTTTGCTTTGCCTGTGACTTTTGCTTTTTGTAGTTTTGCTTTTTAATAGCCTTGAAAATGACCATAAAGGTCGAAAAGCTTCGGCA